AATTAAAGTTGTATTGGCTACCTCTTCTTTTGTTTCCATATTTCACAAAAACCTTTTGTGTGACTGTCAAGCAGCTGTGTTTTGTTCCTTAATCTTCCTTGCACAGCTCCCCAGGAGAGACATTACAACATAAACTGTAAAGTACTATTTTCACAGCAGGAACAACAGTGATCTTCAATAAAAGGCATAATAAGAATAGGTCTGTAATGAACATGCTAATTCTGGTCACCAGGTGCTACACAGAATGCAATCACTGGAAGTTAGGGAGGTCTGGAGGAAAGATACTCCTTTGGCTCTTCAGAAGTCTTCTGCAATACACCTTCGAGATAAATGTCTTTCCAGTGTAAAAGATTCTTCCAAAGGTTTTTTTTTTTCTTCCCTTGTTTCTACTCATTCCACTTTCAAAAGTCTGTCTGTGTAGTAGTCCTCGGCAATAATCAGTGGGAATATATGCAAATGCTTAAGTCAGATAAGCACTGGTATACCTTGTTTATACAGGTACAATTGGAACATGGCAAATTTCTCCTACCATGCAACTAATACCCAGAATAGGTACAGTCCTTCTTCCCATTCTTTTAGAAATGAGAGCTATCCCACAGCACATTTTCCAACACTATAGCTGTGCCAGTCCATTTGTCTAATCTCCATGCCCTCAAAGATAGATGTCCCCAATGACAGATCACTTCAGAATAGTTCCTTCTCATTTTAGTACTACTGGGGACTTTGAAAGTACAGAAATGAACTTCTATTGTCATTGCATCTGTTGCTAGTAACAGAAACCAAAACTGCAGCACCTTGTATTATTCATCTCTGGTTCTGATTTTTTTTTTTTCTGTTTGCTTGTTTAAACAGTGCAGAAATGGTCTGCACTTCTCAGAGTCTAATAAAAATCCTCAATTATCTCAATCTCTGTGTTTATCAGTGGACAGGGAAACACTGGTCAGTATTTCACTTCTTATTTTATGCAGCAGTGACTGACATTAAATCAGTTTCTAAGAAGCAGAAAAAAGGAGTAACTGCCCTAGACACTTCTCACAGAAATTTTACTTGAATTCTTCCATCATTATACAGTGCCTATGCTACAAAAATGTTATATGCCAACATTTTTATAATGCACAGTATGATCAACAGTAATAGAGAAAATCCTGGGTTGAGAAAACAAACTCCCTTCTGCTTAAGTGCCCTGTGTAGTCTCTCTCTTTACCTCCTAGACAGGAAAGAAAACAGAGCAGCAGTGACAGTGGAATGTACACAGGTATTCTGTCTACTGGACATTACCCATGTTTGCCTAAAATCTTCACTCTTCTGTGCTGCTTAAAATTAATGTCATGGAATTGTTGCAGACTTCTGCACTAGAAGGAGGCATCTCATTTCCTCCTTTCTAAACAATTTATGTTCTTGCATATGATGCAAGAATCCTTGTTCTGCAGTCGTAAAAAAAGTCTGCAATTCACTATTCGCAAGATCAAAAAACAGTTAGGTGGCTTTAAAAATAAATGAATGGACAATAAAAAGAAAGCTATTCCATCTCTGATATCTGCAGAGTATGGGAAGATCCTACACTTCGTTAACTTTCATTGCCTATTGAACACTGATAGTTTTGATTGAAAGAATCAAAGCACTGTTCCACTCACACAGTTCTCAGCACAAATTTTCAAAACAAAATGCTCCAAAATAAATATCGTATCGTGTTGTATCCACTCCTCTTGTCTGGAAGGAGACTTCCAGACTTATCCTTACAAGCCTTATTTCCCTTCAAATTCAGCATTTTCATGTGGGTGAATCTGTCCTGGAAAGCAGCCACCTTCTTTATAAACAGAAAATCATAAGCAGTTTCCATTTATCTCAGACATCCACACTTTGTCCAGACTGTCACAATATTCAGCCTAGCAAGTGAAAGTTTAGCCTGATATGTTTCCTGATTTACTGTGTTAAACACAAAAAAAGGCCCTATACTTTATCTCTGCCAAGGCCTTAAAATGCTATCATCTGTAGCTGCCTTTTCTGCCCTTTTCCTTCTCACACTGTGAAGTTTTAACATTCCAAAGCTGAATACTTCCTTTTTATTCATAGTTCTTAGAGATCAAACTACTACAAATTGGTCATAGTGGAAGAATTTGAAAAAAGAGGGTATAACCTGTAAAGCATAGAGTCCTACCACAGATAGAAAAACTAACAAATTTGGCTCAAAAAATATGGCTATATTGGGAAAAATGTTGTTTATCTGTGCTCTGCAAATAATTTGTAGCAATTAAATGACATTTAATGAAACAAACAAAAATTAACATAGGTAGATACTTCAATTCCTGGGAACATCCTGATTTTACGGTCACAATACTTGTGGGCAGAACTGGAGGTAAACTTTGACTTCCTCCCCAGGGTCCCCTCTTGCAAGTGGCACAAATGACAAATAGAATCTGTGATAAAACCACTGTGGAAAGATTTGAAGAACATATGAAAGGTATGCACATATCTTGTGCAATCCAGAGTCAAACTCATGCCCCATGAATGACCAAAGTCTAAGTAGACCACAGATCCAACTCACTGCACTCTTCTGCATTTGATTACATCTGCTAATTCCTGGTCACATCTGTGACACCTATTTATTTCCTTAGCCGATATATGAGGCACAGAGGCACTCTTTTCAAAAAAGGCATGATCAGATAGAGTCTTTTCCATACAGCTACTACTGCAGACTGTGTAAGATGAACATTTGTGTAAGTTTGCAGGGTAGAAGCTTAGAAAACAATTATTTATCTTCCAGGCTAACGCCCTTAGCACTGAACTATCCTTTGTTCTGGAAAGCAATATAGCCAGTCACTGTGCTTCTAACACTTCAGAATTTTAATCCTGGCTAAAATTACCTACAATGACCTGTTACTCTGCATTGCCCTTGTTTTTTCTGATGTTACTCGAATACCTAGATCTACAATTCTAGTATGTTCATGAGTTCTCCTATGTTCGCAGTTTCAGATTTAATTCATAAACCTACTCCTGGGGCTAAAGTATATTCCAGCAATTGCAAATGCCATATGTATTATGTCTGAAAAAACACACAATTTGTCACATTTTGTATCATTTTTAATTAGACAATTTTTAATTAAAACTTTAAATCTATTTATATTTTAACTTCATAACTAGGAAACCACTTTTTGTGTTCATCAGACATTTGCATATGCACATAATTATGCATAGTTTTTAAAAGAGGCTCTGATACTAGCGTTGTCTGAAGTAGCATTGCACTATTCAGGTATGAAACAGACAGCAGAGCCACACATGCCTTAGAAAAAAATTATTCAATAATCCATAGGATAAGCAAAGAAACAGATCACATTTTAGAGTCAGTTTTGAAGCTCAAACAACTCTTCCGTTTTTTACAACCTCTGTGGCCCTCAGTAGACACGTGAGAATTGTTGCTTCTTCTCTACAAACCCCACAATGAGAACATTGCATTTCAAAACTCATGCACACACATTTCAAGAATAAGAAGTATTGTAGATATATTTCAAGAAACTAAAGTCAAAGTATACTTCTTCCACCTGTTTTCACAGGACTTTTTGCCTTTTTTCCAATCCTCCATTTTCTCACCTCTCTTCAATTTACAGAACTTTTAACGTAGTAAGAAAATGTCATTATATGTTCACTTTTAGCAATGGTGAATATGTGCATAAAAAATGTTTCCTTCAATTAGTAAAGGGAAAATCTTATCTTAGGCAGTTAAGACCAGGTCCATGGTGTTGTTAAAACATGAACCTGTCTTCCCATTTTCATTGTGTAGAGAGGGAAGTATTTTTAAAAGATAACAGAAGGAACAATCATGGCATTAGAGATATGAACTTTAATGCTAAAAAAAGATTGTTTACATCAGACTACCTCTAGGGGGAAAAAAAAAAAAAGAAGTGTACTTAGTGTTACTACTTGTTATATGCGTACATGGTGTTGCTAGTTGACGCACCAGTAACACCAAGACTGTCTCTACTGAATAAAATAGCTAATGAAAGTATAGAAATATTTTCTTTTTCTGAATGAAAATCCAACTTTGTAGAAAAATAAAAGAAACAAGTCTCTCTTTATCACCCTACATTTGTTGGGAGAGAAGAAACAAACAAAAAAGAATTTGAAACATATATTTCAAATTTTCTTCTAAATTCTATAAACAGGGCCATGGTAGTTAATGCTGCAAATTTCATGTAGTATCACAATACAGGACAGTAATTTTTAGTCATAAAAGCAACACTGCAAACTGAAGAGTGTGATATTTTGTGAATTGCTTCCAAACCCATTTTCCATTCATCTCCACGTGTCAAAACTGAACATTCAGGTCATTTGACTACTTCTATTTACTCCTCCGAGTATTATCTAGACAGTAGACGTGGCAGTACATTCATATTCTTACTCACAAAGAATAGTGGGAAAAAATGGATTTTTTTTCCTTTACTCTTTTCAAAAACATATTGCTGAAATAAGAGTACAATTCAAATGACATATATTTGAAATGAAAGAATCCCTCCTTTTTAATTGTTATGTCTTGGGGGAAAAATGTTGCAGCAGCTTAATCTCACCTAAAAACCATTTATGCAGCTTCTCAAGGCCACTGTTAATTGTGAAAATTGCTGTGTAAATGCTTACCACACAAATCTAAGCTATCCTGGGCAGCACTAAAATGTAAATCAAATGCATTCATAAAGAATTGGGGTTTGATCAGTAACTGGTATAATAATCTGTTGTGCAAGACACTTCTGTTTCACTTATTTCTTATCTCTTTTCCTCATTCTACTCTGCCATAACCCACATATTAATATTACCATTTGACAGTCAAAAGCCAGAAACATGATATTCATGTATTATGTGAAAAAGTTTGTGTTTAGCAGCATCATAACTATAATAATGCCAATTTGAAAAGAACTGCGTGTAGCTTCCCTGGAGAGAAGCTGTCTTTTACAACAACATAGCACTTTCAGCTATATGAAGTAAATTAGTTACATTTAGAAATAACTTACCACGTAAAACAGTGAGTCTTGTGGACACACTTATTTCGCCAACACTATTTGAAGCCACACATTCATAAATAGCTTCATCTCGTGGCGTGCGCAGTGGTTGTATTCTGAGGACCGATCCAGATCCATCATCAAATTCTATTACCTATAGAAGGAAACAAAAGCTGTCACAGATGTTGTTACAAATGCCTATCCCTCAGTTAAGCTGTTCATGGTAAGTGATCTGCTGGTATTCATTTCATCAAAACCAGGTTCGTTTTTCAAATACACATACCAGCAGAAATTCCACACAGATGGGAAAATGATTAAGTGGCAATGCCTTATAACATACACTGCTGTTCAGCGAGTATTCAGTGGTTACTCTAAGATGGTTTTAAGAAAAGATAGAGTGAAAAGCAAACAACCAAAAAAAAATCATTTAACAAGGGCTGTAAGAAAGGATTCCGTAACTTAATGCTCTTCTATGCTAAAGTTCACCAGTATCTCTTGATTCTCTTAGCTTAAGTATTCTACCTTCAAACGCCAGTTACACTCATTCTAATCGCTACAGGCTCTAATCCCACTCTACTCACAGAGTACAGTTCACTTCTTCATTTAGCTCCAACTTAAAAAGGACCAGCAATTTCTGAACAAGACAGGACTACTCAGCGTAGTTATGTTTCTAACCCTCAGAATGTAAATAAATTTATCCAACAATTTATTAGAAAACGTGATCAGTTAAGATACTAAATAATAAGGCTAAATTTAGTTTTTAAAATGTAATATTTACAAAAGAAATACTAATTTTCATATGAGAAAGAATTAATCAAATCACTCATATTTCCTTCTTGTTCTGCAGTCAGAATCACAGCAGATATTCAAGAGTACTGCAGTACTCCAGGCACTTGAGACGCCTTCCTAAGAAATAAGTAATAGTACTAATCTGTTTAATCCACTTAAAATAAAAATACTTGCCTATAATATATATTAGTACTACAACCAGGTAAATGGCAATTACCAAGAAAGGACAGAAAACAATATTTGGTTTTTTTTTACAAAATAATTAATATTTGGCCATAGAATACATACATGCACAAAACCAATTTAATTATATGTCTATTTACAACTATATTTCTGTCTCTACATCTAATTTACACAAAGGTAATGCACATGCATTATTTTCTCATTTACATTGTAGGAATTGCTCAGTTATGTCTTAGCATTGGGAGAGTTCCAAGTGGAAATAAGATTAAAGCCTGTTTTTTTTCTGAGAATTTGGTTTTATAGCCCACAGGCTGTATTACTTTTCCTTGTTCTTTACGTCATTGTCCTAAACAATCTAGATAACACCAGAACTCCATCTGATGTTAGCACAAACAAAAGAATAACTAGAATTGACATTTAAGAGGGAAAGAAAAATGTCACAGTATTAAAGCAAATGATTTTAAGATAAAACTGAAAGCACGGGATACAAATAATCACAATTGTTACCCTTAAAAAGAATAATTGTTATTGTTTAAATCTGAATGCTGAATAATCCTAGCAGGATGGCCAATAAAAACAATTACAGCAGATTGGGTTGGGCAAATATTGCAGAGATTAAGTTTCAAGTCTGGTGTCTCCAAAATATGTACCTGTAATGAGTTCTCTCTTTCCTGCATGTAACAGATAGTTAATTCCTCCCAATACCCCATCCAGTGAAAGAGATGTTTTTTAAAAAAGCTCAGAATTTTTAATAAACCCAGCTTCAAGTGATAAAGTAGAATACTGCCATTTTTTAAACTTGTTTTTTTCCTCTTCTCTGTGTCTTCTCACGTTCCTCTGAGAAAGACTTCTTAGTAACTTAAAGTAGATTTTTCTAATCCATATTATATGAACAGATTTGAAGCAAGAGAAAAAAGGAATCCTCCTGTATCATTCATGGTATATATTTGCAATATAAATAAAGATGAAAGATTAATAGTAAATTCTCATAAGATCTTATTGTAACCTTTAATTCCAGAAACAAGGTATAGCTCTCACCACTATTCCCACTTAGTTGTGAGAATTAGCCCATGATCAAGAACATTCCACATTCAGTGGAATTCAGTGTGAGCAAGAACATTCCACATTCAGATACATAAACAGGCCACTGTCAAAAGAGAGTGAATAAACTATTTGTTCCTCTATTGTTACATAAGACAATTGCCATGTATATATATCAAGTTCCAGCAAAAAAGCTGCAGTTCTACGTGAGAAAAAAAAAAATCATGGCACAGTTCGGGAAAGACTGTAGGAGGCTGTCCGAGTTTACTGGAAGGAGAGGGACAGAAAATAACCAATCCTGGCATCTCTGGGAAAGCATGTGGATTAGATGGCCCACTGAGGTCTTTTCCAGCTTTATTTACTAGGTTTCCCTGAATACAGTTGGCAAGGTAAAACATTTTCATATCTTCTATCACTACGCAATCAAACTCAGAGAAATACACAAAATATTAATGTGAAAGAAAAGAAACACAAATAATTATTCTCGTACTCGGTGTAGTTGACAATTTCAGATGTGGGAAACCCTAAACATCTGAAATTGTCAACTACACCGAGTACGAGAATAATTATTTGTGTTTCTTTTCTTTCACATTAATATTTTGTGTATTTCTCTGAGTTTGATTGCGTAGTGATAGAAGATATGTTCCATTTGACCTTTCTTAGTCTCATTTCTACTTTTCTGTTTTTACTTAGAGATTCTTTGGCATGAATTGCTGGTCTTACCTTACAGGATGGAAAGCTGCTTTAAAAGATTGATGGCGCTCTGCACACTTTATAACTACTCTGATCAGTGTTTATAATAAAAATTGTAAAATACTGGGTGTTTTCTATTTCTTTGAATTATATTCCATCTTCCTTGTCTATTCAGCTTGTTCAATAGTCCACTAAAGGCATTTTTAAAACATTTTAAATTGATTTTTTATAGTTCTATTAAAATATTTTTTATGGAAATAAAAATGTTTTATTTTTGCTTAGTCTCATTAAAACCAGGTACACAGGTATGTAGAAAACAATATATGAAGCAAATAAACTATGACATATTGCAAAATAAAACTGAATCAACACAAGCAAGTACATGCCCAATCTTCCACTGTTTAGAACTCACCTTGAGTGAAAATTTTGGGACCAGAAGGAGATAAATTGTGTAGAGTTTATGATAAAATTTCTATGTTACTCCCTCTACTCAATTAAAAATCTACATATGCTCTGCAAAGTGGAAACAGTCCTTTGCACTTGGAGGTCATACCTAAATCCATGTTTCTATTTCTCACATTGTAGTAAATATACAAGCAAAGAATAATACAGGTTAATGAACAAAATCCAATGCTTTTAAATATTTTTGAACAAAAAAGGAATAAAAAATATTTTTTACAAGAAATTCTTTTTTTTTGGCTGACATAAATCTAACCTGAAAGCCAGGTCAAGCAATCTTCCCAAATACTACTAAAAATTAATGCAGAAGAATTCAACATTCAGTCACATCTTAATAGGTATATCTTAGATCATTCGTGCATAAAATGCATGTCACAGATGGTTTATATACAAATTAGTCATCTTCCAAATAGTTGTTTTCTTAATGCAGAAGTCTCTTAACACTGAAAACAGTGAAGAGACTGAAAATTATACACTCTTAGTGCCAGTTTTAGTATCTATTCTACAGGCTTCCTCTCATTCCCTGAGTTTTTTTCTACATGTAAAAGGCCAATCCATATTTGATATTAATTGTTCCTGCCACTAAAAGTGGGAATAATATTTGCTGTCTCATTTTCCCCAAATAACCAGTACCCTCTGAATATATTATCTTCACTATTTCCTTTAATTGAAGGTTGTGGAAAGAGAGGAAGCAGCTTTCCCTAAATCCTTTTCCTAGGTTATTGTTAAGAAAAGAATCAAAAGCAAACAAGTTTTATATTTCCTTTTCAGCAGCAGAAACTACAATGTGCCTTTCATCTGTCTCTGCAACAGCAGTAAGCAACTGAGGCAGCAGAAGCGGGAGCAGCCCAAGTCTCTTCAATGCACACCGCCACAAAAGGAGGTGGCTTGCTCTCTGGAGACAGCAATCATCACTCAAGTAATTTTTCCCCATCTCCTTCACAGAAAAGATAGCAGGCTGAGCAGGAACATGTCAAGGCTCCTCAGTTAAATCAAGTTAGCCTAGAAAACAGCAGTAGCAGTTTTCTCTTTAACAGCGTGAAGCATAAGCAGTTTGCAAAATAAAAACTTCACGAGACTGCCCCCACTAAACGATTCCTGTTAGTCTTAGTTGTTTTGCTTAACCACTGGTAACAAAGCACACACACTAGGGTTAAAACCAAGGCTGCAATTAATGTTTTTCAGAGGAACAGAACAATGGACCTAATACCTCAAATCTCTGATTGCTGACTTTCTTTCCCTTTTTGTTCCAGACAATTTTAGGTCTTGGATCTCCTGTGGCTTGACAGATGAATGAGGCGACTCCTCCAGAAACCCCTGTCTGGTCAACAGGTGTTCTTGTAAACTTTGGTGGTGCTGAAACAAACAAAAAAACCCTCAACATTAGTCTACATAGTAAACATAAGCCATGTCAAGATTTTAAAGTGAAAAAAAGAAGGAAATGTTTTGTTTCTTCAGTGACAGTATTCACCTGCAAGAGAAAGCATTAAAAAATGAACTAAAATGTCAGGAAAGTACTTTAAGATTTTACTAGTGAAATTCATATTGAAATGGAAATCTGATAGCAACAGAATAGCAAGATCAGACATTATATTTTATCATCATTACAAATAAAAAATCCAATTTGTCTTCGGTTGCAAAATGAGCCCATCAACCAGCTGTAACAAGATCGTGATTCATGACTTGATGTTATGAACACAGGATGTCATGAGATCAAGATTCCCAAATCTGAGCCATTAAAATCAGTGACATTTAGAAGAAAGCATTTGTAGATTTGCAGTGGTGGCGATGAACGGCTATATATTAAAAGTCCACGCAGAAAGGACTGTAACAGAAGGTAGATTTATGCGTGGGCCAGTTTTACATATAGCTCCTGTTCAATCTGAAATTATTCTATTCTGTGAGATTGAAGAAGTGAAAAAAGATCCATCTATTGCAGCAAAAGGAGAGAAACAGAGAAAACATTTTAAGAACAGGAAAAGGCATTTTAGTTAATTATTCTCTTTCCTTCTTTTTCTGTTACAACATAAATAAAATTAATTTATCAGCCTTGTGGACAACATAAATAAAATTAATTTATCAACCTTGTGGACAACATAAATAAAATTAATTTATCAGCCTTGTGGTGAAACAAAATTTTCGAACGTACATCAGTCTAAGACATAACTTCTAAAGATTTAACATAAAAACTATGAGGTTGTGTTCTATCCACAGTCCAGAAATTTTGAAGATTTCCTAAAAATATTTACATAATTTTCTTTCTTAGCTGAGAATTTTTTAGAGATCTAATACACTTTAAGATGCTAACTTGAATGAAATGAATACTTATAGCCAATAAATAATAAAAAAATAAGCTCTCTGCTATACAGCCTTTCTCAGTTTTAAGTTGTTATATGTAGTTGTTCTACAGCAACTGTTGCAATTAATTTTTGCCCTCATCTTCAGCTTTCAGGAGTCAGATCCCTTCTGTTCTCAACCTCCTTCACTTTCCTCTCTTAATTCTGACGTTTCTGTACCTCTACTCTACTAGTTTTCATTTCTAAGTTACTGCTCTTCACTTCTGGTGCATGACTCTTTATTCTGCTGTCCTGGTCTTTCCACGGACAATACTTCTTGTCAGCATGTTTATTTATATGTTAGAAATACAGCAGATTACAAGTATGCATGTATGTAACATTGGAAGAAAACCTGAAATAATTTAAAATGCCAAGAAAATACAATGTGGTCACTATTATTAAACAAATTCAGTATGTTGTTGTTATGTTCCTGGATTAAGTGTGAGAGTACGCAGGCTGTCCTTAGTTTATGAAATTAAAGGACTCTTTTTCACCCTGCCACTAACGTGTAATATATCAGTAACAAAGAGGGTTTTCTTTTAAAAATGCAGTAAAAGTATAATATTCCTGAAAATCTGCATGATTTTTTAATGTAAATGTCAGGCAAAACTGTTATTGCTCAACTATTCAGAATGTGCAAGGGTCCTTGAACTATCGAGTGAATACGTACCTGACACCAAATGCAAGAGCAAATCTAAGCACAGCAAAATAGAATGCCACTGCTGCCACAGGGATGTTATGAAAGAACTACTTTGATGTAAAAAAAAATATGCCAAAACTATGCTAAATAAAACACACTGAAATTAAAATCCAAGTCATAGGCTTTATGCCTGGACCACAGAAAAGAAAGTTATGTATTCTGATGAAAAGCATCTGGGTTTCACCAAAACTGCAAGCTTTGACTCCTTTATACACATGTATTAACTCAGTACATTGATATGTAAAGAGACATGACTGAATCTGATATGCTGATATTCTGTGGCACAAGTAGTTACTGTGTGCCATCAAGTGAAAAATGATGTGCTGCCATTCTCTTTTTATTCTTTTTGACGTTTTATGAATTCACTGTTGAACCTCAAACCAATGAAAGAAAAACACTTTATGGGCAAGTCCATCAGAACAGAGTAACTATGTATGGAAGCTCATAGGCAGATTTTAAATTCCAAATTCATGCCTCACTCATATATTCAATGACTGCCCAACTAATAATTTCAACATCAATAAAGAACTTACTTCCTTAGAGACAAGGTCTGTTTTGGAAAATTTGATGATTTTGCCATGCATTACAAGGGTCAAGGAGGGAAAGCAACTCCACTTAGGAGATGTGCCACATATGCTTCATGAGCATGGTTCAGATAAACACAAGAGAGCTTGCACTAATTTACACTATATTACAATTTACGTTTGCTGTTACTGTGGAGCACAAACAAAACAAACAAAATGCCCTTAATCTCCAGAACTCTGCAAACTGAGAACTGTCTATGAAACAGTGCACATAGCAATATATATGAAATTAAAAATCTTCCACCAAACTTAACTGGTGTTAGAGGTAAAACCAGTTTTCCGACAATTTCTTCATCTAGGACTAGGTCAAAGCTGGTAATGGGCTGCAATTGCTCTGATTCCTTAAGAAAACTGCTTACCAGCTTCTCCTATATAGTGCAGTTGCACAACAATGTGGTTTTGGTAGCTACCTGAAGAACGGTCTTTTTCCAGTCTTTCTTACATGATTTTTTGCTGTACCAACAATCAGTAAAGCTGCTGTTTGTTAACAAAAACACTTGCTACAAAGCATTAGACCTGGTCAATGTTTCCTTTTGCCTTCATGAGAAATTCTTGTAAAACCATTGCCATGACAGTTCTCCAGTGCCTGATCTTGGAAGAAAGACAGTTATCCTTGAGGTATCATATGATATCAGAGAAGGTATACTATTATTAAAAGATTTATAATTTTATCTGAAAAAGGAAACTTGCAGTAGTCCTGTACACTTCAGACATTTCAGGCATACAATGGTCTTTTTCAGTGGTTCATGTTAAATCTACTAAATTAAATTTAACTTGGCAAAACAGCTAAATTCTCCACTTCAGACTCAGCAGTTGCACCAGAAGGATAATAATGCATGCATGTTTAATACGAATTGTGAGGATAAATTGATTTATGGCCAAGAGATGCTTAGGCTATGGTAAGGGTAGCCAGCCAGCCATGGAGAAAGACAGGTACTATGCAATCCATCTTTTCATTATTCAATCAAGATGTTCAACTCATTATATATAAAGTGACCATCATCAGTGTAAGGGTATATGAAATCATAACCCACCAGAACCAAAAATGAAAAATACTATTTGTTCCCTTTATCTTTATCAGGGTAGTTAATTGAAGTCTGACACAAGTTATCTCCACAATTAATGTGTCAGTTTCCTGACACTGATCTTGACCTAAGGTGCTAGGCATTCTGATCGCAAACACAATTACACTGCACACACAGTTGTGTTTATTAACAGGAGGGCAATTTTGATTGAGAATTGACAACTATTTTTAATCTCCCTTAACAACAGCAGTGCAGAGTCCAACAGAAATTCTCTGCAGTATATGTCATTAAGCACAACAACAACCTATATGGGAACCTTTCAGTGCAATTAGATCTGTCAAAAAAAAAAAATCCGATATAATCAGTTACCAACTATGATATCATAGCCTTTTAGTACTTCCAGAACTCTACTTGGACAGATTTCAATGCAGCTGCAATTAAAATAACAGATGTGTATTTAAAATAAGAAAAGTAAAATTCAGTTACAATCAACATGTCATATTTCTGGATTTGAATTGCCCTGTGGTCATCATTAAAAATGCAGCAATTTTGGCCAGTAAATGCAAACAACACAAGTTTTGATTGTTTCAGCTTGTTTACCTACCAGTGTCTTCTCAGGTATTTGTCCTGCTACTGAATGTTGATATCTTGTCAAGGGAACAAATTTACAGCAGAAGATTTCCATAACTTGGACTCATGGAGAGCAAAACAAGTCTCTGCTGCATTTTATGCACATTATGCTGGGATTCCTGAGAAGCTCAAGTGGCAGCTATTGCAAATACACTCTAATATATATCAGAAAATTTAATTTATTGCTAGATCACCTTAGATATGCTGAGCTTTAAATTGTTTGGTTTAAGGAATTTAAAGCCACAGAAATGAGTCTGCTGCTTCAACAAGCAGTCAAGCTGTGTGTCCCTGCCTTCTTTCCACTGCTACTGAAAGCTGTTCTTGTGTAAAGGACGTAACTCCTCTAAGTAAGAGATGAATATGAGGATAAGACTTCACCTTCTTGAAAGGTAAAGTGAAAGCTAGGAATGCATGCAACCCAAGTATAGCAAGCTGAAAATGTGGACCTACTATGGACAAGACAAATAGCGAATGCAGATCTTAATACATTTCTGTTTCTAGACCCTCCACCTGGGGAGTATGGAAGTTCCTGGTATACCAGGAAAAAAATCAACAACAACAATAACAACAAAATAACAGAAATACCCTTTAGTCACCCCAAGTCCCATTTTGCAACCTTCACTGCATCCCACTGACTTATCAGGAATGGCTATGTATTCTAAGCAAACAGGACATAAACTGGCTCACGTTCAGTACCAGTGAAGGCTCTTGTCCCAGTAAAACCAAACAAATAGGCAAATGTTGCATGTAATCTCAGCTGGATACTGTGTAGATACATTACAAATTACATGAGTTACTACTGTTTTCACAATTCTCTTAGGAGTTAATATACTTTTAAAAAGTTATATATATGTAGTATTTGATTGAAAGCTTTTTTGTGCTCATTTATTTATAAAAAAAAAATCAAAGCACACTCACTTAAAGCATTCACTGCTAATTTACTCATTAATCATAATTTGTGACATCAGTTAGACTGATCATTGCTATAAGCAATTGTTTTGCCTTAATTCTAACCTGCACCTATGGTGGACCTGCAAATTGGCTATGTAAGAAAATTAATTAACTTTCTATTTCTATAATGATGAGCAACAATTTGTATTCATGAAATCTGCGTAAAGAAATCCCGAAGTTACGAACTGGTATGTTCCAAAAAGCTCTTGTCTGTCAGTCACAAGCTGGTGAAATGTTTGTTTCTCACTATAAACATCCTAAATTTGCATCATCCTTGCACTCTTCAGCAAGAAGAATAGCAACTATGTATTCTTCAAGTGCCTTCACACTCTGAGCAGCTGTATAGTTTTATTATCCTGAGAATGAAAATTACCAGCTTTTTATCTTTGAACTACCAAATACGATTTAGCTATGCCAACTGATTCCATCTGAAGACCTTGATCCATTTAGTTCACAAAAATTATTTGCAGGTACAAACATAGAACTAAGCTATTTCACTTTACAGGCATCAAAACATCCTCTTAAAAGCCCAACTCCTAAAACAACTTTCATAAAATCTTTATAATATAGTCATAATGTTTATCTCTCCACCTTTTTTTTTCTGCTGATCATACTCTTCTAAAAAGACAAGCACTCAAAAGAAACAATTCTATAAAAAAATGTCTGTTTGGGGGGCAGTTGTTTTTTTTTTCCCAATTTAGCAGTCAGCTCCAGATCCCCAACCATTAATGAGCCTAAGTATACCCACCTTATAAATTTAGTAAGCTGCTCAAAAAAAGATTATTAATTCCTGATCTCAATGAAAATATTAAAAAGTCAAGCCTATCTTTATGTTTTCAAGTTTTCTACAATGCACAGTGTCAGTTTTCTAGGATGACCATTGGGTTTATTCTTCCCTGAAATACAGAATCAAATGACATACTTACAAGTAACACCTTGCAGGTAGAATAGATAAGTTACATTTTTCAGAAGGCCTGATGTTAAAACAGCACATTCCTAATTTGTACCTCTAGGCTCTGCAAACCTTGGTACCAGCTCATTTCATTGGGGATTATGTATGCTTTTTTAGAGACATTATCTGAGCCCTAGGGACAAGGGAGGAATACAAACCAATAGAGACAGCAGCAGACCTTTATTTTCCAGCTAATGTCATGCCCCCCACTACCACACTCATTTACAGTTTATAGCAACTGGGAGAAAGAAAATGGCTTTCACAAATGTGAAGAACCTATGAAAAAGCCTTTTATTAATACTACTACTATAGGTTATAGCCTAAGAAGGATGAAGCTGAAGAATTTACTCCTTTGCTTTTTCTATTAAAACTGTTGCAGGCAACCTGGTAACAATTTAAGCTGGTTTGTGACAAATTACTAGGACACTTACTGTAAAACCGAGACCAGTCATTAACTGCTGCCTCATCTGAGTGTTAGGGCACTAACAGGAAGCTAGCCCATGGGTCAGCCTCTTCGATGACCAGAACAAAGGAGAAAGCTCCTGAAGCCAGATCTGCTCCCACTCCAATCTCCTTTGCTTTCAATCCCTAAGTTGCACACACAGCTTTATCTGCCAGTGTTACCCACCCATTAATTTCAATACAAATTTTAAGCTTCTTTTAAATATCACTACAAAAAAATAAAAGTTTTACATATTTGTTTCCAAATCTCCCCTTATGTACTCCACTGTCTCTTCAGTTTTTTTCTACATAAGAATTGTGGTTTACAGTAGTTTAAGAAAAGATGATCAGGATGCTTGATTCTATTATTTGATTAACATGAGCACTGAAAGATGTCGGTGTAGCATTAAGCAACCACCATGCAGTAAATGCACAGGAGGGCAAGAATTCTCTTTCCCATTGCCAAAGGAACTCCAACACTGTAAATTTAACTCAACTGCATATATGCCTTTAAGTTGGACACTAGCACATACGTTCAAATCCACAATACAAAACAAAATAGGCATAAGCTTGTGTGTATACATAACGTTTACCACAAGTGGCACATGCAAAGTCTGGGTGGAACTTAATCTACCTGAGTTTGAAAGAGGAACTTGCTATTTAATCCAGTACTAAGCCTTCTTCTAGCAGCAAATAAACAGCATGAAGTCTCTTGAATCTAAAAGGTTAGTGACTTGCACCACTTCATCCCCCAGGAACATTACATAACCTTGTCATATTCACTAATTTAATGAAAGGAAATTCTGCTTCAAAGCTCTCTACTGCTTCTTTTTCAAATTTTAATGTCTGCAGACTGCACATGAATTATTTGGTAACTGAGAGGTGACACTCCTTTTCTGCAAAGCAGAAGCAGTGGATCTCAAAACACCAGGCGAGACAAGGAATTTTGCTCTAAGAGAAAAGGGGGAATAACAAGATCATACAGGTAAGAGCTTCAATTAGTGACTGAGGGTATTTGGGTTATGACTAGAGACTGGTTTTTCAGTCTTATTAAAGCACTCAGAATACAGGTATTAAAAGCAGGAATAATAAAATTGGGGCACTGTAACAACTGAGGGAAGCTTCCACTCATTTTTTATTTATTTACATAGAAAAAACTGCATACTGCTCTATTTACACACAGAGCAGATTCCTGATTAGTGACTGTGAAAGCAAAATTCCCTGTCTAACGATAAGACTTATTCAAAGAGAAAAGAAATCATCAAACTCTACCTACTAAATACGGTTCAGTGTTAATTCTTGGCAAGGCATCCATATAAGCGAATTCTCGTAACTCCTGTTAAAGTAGAAGAGAAATTAATAATATCCTGCCACAAGACTTACTTTCATCTAAGAATCATCTTTTGTTTCCACTACTGGAGGCAAACTGCTTTATTACCAATACCCCCACAGGGCACCATATCACAGGGGAAAATCACTCTTACAATCTGCTACCATGCTCTGTGAAAGTGACCCAGGATCCCAGTCTTTTGTACAACATGCCTATATAGGTGAAATTCCTTCATGTTATCCACTTACTGTAAATCCATCCCTATCTCAAGGCAGCTGAAGGTGAAAGCCAGAAAAAATTATAAAACTCAATATACACGTTATCAAAGTTTATAAGGATACAGGTGGTAGAAAAGTTGAAGTCATTCAATCTTTCTGTTACAGTTAACAAAACCAAGAGACCTTCCTTCACTCTCATTTTCAGATAAGGTGAGGAGGCTTAGCTTAGGGACCAAGCCTTTGGCCCCATGCTAGTCCCTGACTTTCATCTCCAAAAGATGAGGAATATACCGAATTTCCTCCTTAGTGTATGAAGGTGACTTTTAGATTCATCAAACCTGTCTCAGATATAACTGACAAGGTGGCTTTATATCTTCTCTTCTTCTGAAGCATCCTAAGTAGAGTCATATCCTGTCCTGGTGGTAAACACACAGTTTTACACCTTTTTGTTGGGTTAAACTATTAAACTGCTGAGGGGCAGACTGCTGTTTCTTGGGACAAATGTGTACGTGCATCTAATGAAATCTTAACAGCCCATATGAAAATACACAGTTTGAGGCATTAGGATGTTTAGTAGGACATTCTACTTGCAAACCAGTAGTAAGAGATGGCATGAATTGACACAAGCATCATTCATTGAGCTAAACTGATTAAAAAAAGACTGTAGCATTAGACTTGCTATAAAATAATAATAATAAAAAAGCTATTTTGTAGAGATTTAGAAATCTTTCTTTCTTTCTTACTAGGTTAGAACTACTTGACCCCAGAACTTCATAAACTTCCTCTCTTTTAGTTGTAAAATAACATTTACCATTTGCATTCAGAAATTAATTACATAAAACCTAAATTAAGTATCCAGCCAAGCAGAGAGAATAATTGTTCCAGCAATGCTGTGAGAGCTACGCAATG